ACAACTTGGCTGATTTTCGGACGATGGGATCGGACGGTGATTAATCTGTCGGACGTCCGACGTCCCCAACGGCTAGTTGACTGTTCAGCTACTTTCTATCCGTTGGATGCTTTAATGAGGCACTTTCTTGGTCCTATATAAATAGTGGTTGGTCAGATATTTCAGACAACTTTTGTACACTGAAGATACAAAAGATCTAGAGAGATTTTAGTGAGAAAATACTCCAAAAAGAAGATTTGTAGTCTTAGTGGTGTGAGGTTCTTTGTAAGCTTTTCATTTGTGAGTGAATTCTTCATGAGTGTAGCTCTGTGAGGGTTGTCCTGAGGGATTGTAAAACGTCCTGACTTGACCGAGTGGAGTTCGGGGCAAGGAGGAGGTGAACCTTCCTTTGTACACAAGAGTGATTGTAATTCATCAACTTGAAGTAGCTTGTTTGAATTAATCTACAAGTTCAAGAGGAGCTGTGTAGTAAATTGGTTTGCAATCCTTTCCTTTTATTTATTGTTACGCTTTTGATCTTTAAATTGTTTATCTCTTCTACTCCCAAGCAGTTTTGATTTCTTGTTCATTGTCTCATTGGTTGTCTTCGGGCCTTACATCTTTAGATATGAATTCCTTTAAGGTGACAGGAGTTCGGGACTTTTGCTTGAAGACTCGATATCCTTGAAGATTATGACAGTCATTATTTTTCTTTACGTCCTTCTCTTTCCCCTTCCAGATCACTATACTTCTTGTTAAGGCTTTGTTCACCTTACTAGATGAACAAGATTTTCGCCTCTTTCTTCGCGTGACTAGAGTCCATCCTTCATCATCCATATCAGGGTATAACGCCTTTTCATTTTCGTATGCATGTTTTTGAAGAATTAAAGGAGCACCTTCTTGTTTTATTTCTATGGGATCAAGTGATCCAAATTGAATTGTTGGCAATGCAAGTACCATGACCCTTTTAACCTCCATGGACTGCAGGGAATCAATAGACGTTTGATTCACACTTGCCTTGTCTTCTTCAAGGAGAATTTTTTCTTGTCTCGCCAACTCTATTACTTTGTCTTTGAAGACAAAGCATTTCTGAATGGGATGCCCAATCAATTGATGATACTTACAATAATTTGGATCTTCAGTGTTCCTGGCCTCATCAAGTTGCTTCATCTCAGGAAGCGTGATCAAATTTATACTTAACAGATCGTCAAACATACCAGGAACATCAGAATCGAGGAAAGGGAACTCCTTGTCTTGCATCTCCTTGAGAGTCGGTTTCCTCTTTCCTTATTCTTAATGTGCATAGATCTTCCTATCTTCTCTCCTGGCAATTTTGGGAATAATCTTGAAAGGTGTTATACTTGTAGTCATAGACTCCTTCTTTTCATTTTTGATTGGTGGCTTGCCCCCTCTTCTCACTTCATGTCTCTCCTTAGTCCTGTGAGGGTCAGGAACTGGTGGTTCTTGTCCATCAAGATTAATTTTCAACTTGTGGGTTTTTGTGGACAATTCATCAAACATTTCTGGTTGTACACCTTACAAGATGTATCTGAATTCTCAGTGCATATCTTGAATACACATCTTGATGCAAAAGATTCAGGAATTCGATCTTTGCAATTTAAACTTAGATTCCTCCAATGGTCGATAAAATCAATGACAGGTTCATTCTTCCATTGACATGTATTAGAGAGTTCAGTCATACTGACAGTTCTCTTTGTGCTATAGAAGCGACTAAGAAATTCATGTTCTAACTGCTCCTAATTGTCAATGGTTCTAGACTCCAGATCTGTATACTAATCAAAGGCATTACCCTTCAACGAGCGAACAAATTGCTTAACGAGCAAATCACCATCAGTGCTAGCATTGTTACAGGTTTCCACGAAGTGTGCAACATGTTGTTTAGGGTTGTCATTGCCATCAAATTGTTGAAATTTTGAAGGTTAATATTCCACAGGCATTTTTAAACTTTCCACTCTAGCGGTGTAAAGTTTGTGTAACCACTATATGACTTGGCACTTCCACCAATCTTGTCCTTGATTGTGTTTTCGATGAACTCCTTCAGATTATCAACATGAATGGTGCCATCAGAGGAAATTGAAAATTCCTTCATGGCTTGTGATTTTGCATCCTCTTTCTCCTTCTCCCTTAATGATGAGTCACCTTCGTCTTGCACTTTGGATTTCTGTTTGGTCATACTAAGGCTATTTTCGCCTATATTCTCGACCATAGCCATTAATTTGATTATCTTGGCATCTTGACCTTGCGCATGCACTACTAGCCCTTCGACAATTTTGGCTAGATTCGAAATTTGATCTTCCACAGTTATTGTATTGGTCATCATGACGGGTATCACTACAGAGGCAGTCGAATCACTTGGCCTATCAATGGATTCATTATGGGTTCCTTTCTTGTTGGGAAGCATCTCAAGGTTTGTTTCTTCAATCACAGCATTAACCTTCTCTGCTAACTTCTTAGCCTTGCTTCTTGTCAAAGGTGCCGTATACTGTATCTCTTGAGTTGTTGAGGCATCGGTAACTAAATCTTCAAGAGAAAAGTTCACCTTCTTGAACTCCATTGAATTTTCAAACCGGTGAGTTATTGGAAGAAAAGAGATGAGAGGCAGAGATAGTCCCACCGGACGTGCTAGAAATTTGTATGCACAAATTTTGTTGCCTAAAATAAAAGACAAGAAAACTTGCACAAGTATCAAATTTATTAAATCGAATAATAAGTGGGTTACAATTTCTGAAAATTCTTGAATCAAAGAAATTAATCTCCTGATTCTTCTCTTCAAATGGCTTCAATCGAAGGGCCCAAGAAGCTTATTCCTCGATCGAAAGAGTATTTCCTACAATTTCGATGTATAAAACGATTGATTTGATGGTGGCATCAAATACTTGGAATTTCAAGTCTTCAACACCGATAGCAGGAGGATTTGTTTGGCTTGATTTCAACTTGGATTTGAAGAAAAAAACTCTTGAGAGAATTTGATAGAATTTCTCCCAAAGTTAGGGATTTTTCTTCTATATTTGTCTTAAGAAAAAACCTTTTATTTATAGCCAAAATATGTAGGCTAAGTTTTCAAGAAAAAATCCTTAGAACCTCCCTGCATTTTTGGTAACTTATATCTCAAGAAACCCATTTAACTTGGGTTTAAAAATAGTGGGCCAATCCAAATGGTCCATGGTGAATTAATAAGTCAATTAATTCACTTCAATTTAAATGGACATTACAAATTTAATTTGATTTAATAGCTCATATAATATTGGCCCAATTTGTCAATCCAAAACATAATGGACTTCTATAATTTGATTTAATTTAATCAAGATCAATTTAATTTGAATAAATCTTGACTAAATAAATTAAATAAAATTTCTTTATCTACAAATGCCCCCACTTCAAGGTTCAATTGGGACTTGCTTGTCAAGGATGGTAATTGAGACTTGAAGTACTTGATTTTTTTTTTTATAAAAGAAAAGCCAATTCCTTTGCCAATTTAGTGGCGAGCAATTAGAGTCTAAATTAATATGTGTGATCCAAGATCATAAGAAGTCTACACTATTCACGTATTACATGCGATCTACGGCAAAGTGCAATGCACAGGATTATTCCCCATGTCATCACAATGAAATTGCTGCAATTAGTCTCGAACCTTAGTGAATTAATAAATCAATTAATTCACTCCAATTTAAATGGACATTACAAATTTAATTTGATTTAATAGCCCATATAATATTGGCCCAATTTGTCAATCCAAAACATGATGGACTTCTATAATTTAATTTAATTTAATCAAGATCAATTTAATTTAAATAAATCTTGACTAAATAAATTAAATAAAATTTCTTTATCTACAAATGCCCCCACTTCAAGGTTCAATTGGGACTTGCTTGTCAAGGATGGTAATTGAGACTTGAAGTACTTGATTTTTTTTTTTATATAAAAGAAAAGCCGATTCATTTGCCAATTTGGTGGCGAACAATTAGAGTCTAGATTAATATGTGTGATCCAAGATCATAAGAAGTCTACACCATTCACGTATTACATGCGATCTACAGTAAAGTGCAATGCACAGGATTATTCCCTATGTCATCATAATGAAATTGCTGCAATTAGTCTCGAACCTCAATGGTTGGCAGTTGCCAAAACCAATTGCATTGCCCAAAAGATGGCCCATTGAATTTTATATTTCCAAAGGCTGCGTGAAACTGGTCATCAAGTTTATAGAAAATTGCTCAATTGCCAAACCTATATTTTGTCAGAAAATTGTTTGAAGAAGCAAATCAATATTATTTTTATTTTCTTCCTGCCGTCATGCACGATTTTTGGAGTTTTAGTAGAGTCGCTATGTTTTTAAGTATAATAAAGGGTTAATTACATTTACCTCCCCTGAGGTTTGACCATATTACCAATCAATCCCTGTAATTTGTCCAAATAACGGTCTTACCCTTTGAATGATCAAACATTTAACAAAAACCCCCTTAATGCCGAAAATGCCCTTGTTGAGGCCATGTTGCATTAAAAAAGAACATATTTTTATTTTATTAACCCTGAAGCAATCCAAAAGAATAGAAAAAAGTTTTTGCTTATTATTTTATAAAAACCATATCTTTACTTCCATAATAGTTTTGAATCAATAATTATTTTAAATCTTAAAAATGAATATTAAAAATTAGATAAATTGAAAGAAAAATAAAAAAGAAGAAATTATTTTAATTCCTGGAGTATGGTTCAAATTGAGGAAAACATGCCTTGTGCTCTCTGCAACATGCTTTGAACCACAAATTCGAATTTATCTGATAATTCAAATTTCCCTTGACCGTAGGAAAGGCATTGCTTTAGTTCACTCTTGGAATGCAAGCAGTTTGTTTGTTTTTTTTTTTTTATTCTCTGGTGTCCCCTCAATCACAATTTGTGCAGCTAATGACTTTTGGCCAAATTTTTTTATGTTTAATAAAGATTTATGAACGTTAAAGAGTGCAAGGGGAAACACATTCCAACTTGGTGCATTTTTTGGATTTGCTTATGCTGAAGAGTACACGGGGAAATTTTATTACGTTGGCAAAACAAACATACATATTGTGATGAGCTCAAAGCTGGAATGAGAGATAATATGCTTGCTGTAGACTATTTTTAAGTTTATAATCCCTATGAATTTCTGGGTACTTTTTCATGAGAACAGACCACCTTTGAACAGTTGCACCGCCTCACAAGCAGGGTTCGCCAACTCGGCCGAGTCCGGTACGACTCGGCCGAGTCATAACCGGAACGCCGGGACCGGTACGATACTGATCCTCGAATCGCCGGTATGACCATACCAGATGTGAATCGTGCAGACTCGGACGTTATTGGCTGAGTCAAAACGGTGTAAGAAGTTGTCGGCCAAATCCTCGGATACGACTCGGAGTCGAGTCGGCAACTCGTGAACAGAATTGAGCAGAGGAAATTGAACCAAAAATTGAACAGAGGAATTTTCACTGCTTACACCTAATAATCGAACAGAGGAAAACCTAATAAATGAATACCAAATAATTCACTGCTTCTATTTTGACTTTTACCCAAAAAATGAACCAAAAAGGGCAAACAAACATTGAACAGAAACAAAAGGCTACACAAAAGCCTGCAACAACTCAATTATTGTCATACAAATACAAATCCTTGCCCTAGCAAAAGCCGTCCTTCCTCTCATGCTTTCTTTTTTCTTTTTCAGCCACAAATAATCAATTACTTGGAGAAGGTGTAGAAGCAGAGCATAGAATCATTCATTATTTGGAGAAACACACCCGAAGACAGGATCATTATTTAGAGAAACATACCATCAATTTTCATTGGTTTGCAGAGAGGGAACATCTTCAATTTCTTCACACTTCATCGGTTTACAAAGAGAGAAGTTTGCAAAGAGGGAACATCGATTTTGCAGAGAGGGAAGAGAAAAAAGAACCTAAGGGAAAGCGCAGACAAAGAACGAAAGGAGGTTTGCAGAGAGGGAGCATCTTCAATTTCTTCATCGGTTTGCAGAAACATCGATTTGCAGAGAGGGAAGGAGGATCGATTTGCAGAGAGGGAAGGAGGAAAAAAAAAAAGAAAGGGAAAGTGAAAAGAAAGAAGGAATGGGACGGCTGCTAATCTGAATTGAGAAAGGTGAAAGGAACGATTCCAAAATTAAAGGGATGTTGGGCTTTTGTATTGGAGCGGAAGACAAGAAAAAAGTAGAAGGAAAAATTAAAATCATTTAAAGTCCAATTTTGGCCCAAGTAATTAAGAGATTGGACTCCTAATGTTAACCTCAAGCATCAAGCCGAAAGGTCTGTATCCTCTTTGAAAATAGTTTTGCGATTTTAATATTTTTTAATTTAGTATTCAGATGTGATATTTAGATATCTATAAATTTATGTAATGCATTGTGACATTTTTTTTATATATTATTAAGTATATGATTAATTTGTATTAGTAGTCTCTTATCTAAATTTTAGTTAGAAAATATATAATCATTATTTGGATACATTTTAACGATCATAAATGTAATTTATTTATTCCATGTATCTCAATTATGTTGATTAAGATGATTTTAGATAAATTAATTAGAAAAAGGCAAAGCAAACAAAGTAAAAATATGTTTTGAACCTCCTCGTCATTTTATATGGTACTAATAGGTATGTAAATAAAGTAAAAATATGTTTTTACTATATTTGATAGAATTCAAGAGTTGTAAATAATTCATTAATTTTAATATTTTTGTGATATTTATTATTCTTTTTATTTTAGGAAATTAAGATCAATCATCTAGGCACTGCAGTGGATCAATCCTTTGTGTACAGAGATTTGTATTGTATTATGTAAGATATGATGATTTTATTCTTATATACAATTTTTTATTTCATATAAAATAGGATTAGAAAGCACACTTAATTCTAAAATCATTAATTGCTAATGCTATAGGCCGTTATGGTAATGACAGCATTATTTTATTTAATAATTAGTAACTATATATAACAATGTTGGTATTTAGTGAATTTAATTTGATAAATGTGCTTTTTATGGTATTTTCTATTTTTAGTAAATATTTCAGATTTTTTGAAAATTCTTATATACTATAATGTGCGTATCACCCGATATTCAACCGATATACCGCGACGGATGTGGAACAACCGAGACCGCGACGCGACCGCGATCTGCGATGGCGAACCATGCTCACAAGTTGGAAAGAATACTCAACAGCTTACCTCTAACCCATACTTCCCAGGCAAAATGTTTCGAAGTTAGACTAATTTAGAAGCTTTTTTTTTTTTAATGGCGTGATGGTATCTGCTTATAAGAAATACAAAAAATAAAATTTAGTTTAGAAACCCTGCCTAGGAACTTGATGATAAGTATAAACTTTTCTCACTTCTTCAAACTAGAGACATCCTGCAATGTAGCAAATCCTTTTTTGGGGATGGTATTGGTATACTTTTTTATTTCATGATGTAAGCTTCTCAAGAATGGTCCAGTAGTGTTTATATCAATCCTCGTACAAAATAATGGAGATGGCTGGGGGAACTTGCACTAGCTAGTATAGGAAGCCAGTAGCAGTAGTGAGTGGAAGTCCTTTCTACATCCCGCAGATGCGCTCCTGATTGGATGTAACAGGTAACAGTTCTACAACATTCTTTGATCATGTGGGCTGGAATGCCTGGTGTCATCAATATAACTCAAAATTGAAAATTGAAGATTTATATTTGATGCTTGTATGCCTAAAAAATTTTCTTAAATCCTCTTCATTCCTAAATTCCAGCTCAGGTATCCTGCTCCTCGTGCTCCAGAATTGGCTAAGAGAGTGAAGGAACTGCTCAAAGACTGGTTTTAATCAAGAATATGAGAATAAGTGAAATTTAGACCATGGAGCATGGACTCCCCTCATGCTTATGTACCCAGAGACTGAGACACACGCCCAATCAAGCGGGGATAAGACTTACCCACTTATGACAGGGGAAGTGCATTGGCACCTCTGAAGGATGGGGGTTACCTCATAGTTTGTTCTGGATCTGCCACTCACAACTTAAGGTCTCTCCATGAATCTAGTTCTGTTGATTCTTGGGCTTTCCAATTTGACCAATGGCTCAAAGTAGCTTTCTCAGTGGAAGGAAAAGTATCTAAGTTACAAACTTACATTTTAAAACATGTCCGTTCACAGCTCTTCAGATAAAGTAACAAATAAGTTGGTTAGAAATTTATGTTCTTGGAATTATGCTAGGCATTTTGTGTTTGACTGTTTTTCTTGCTTCTTTTGGTTGCTTGAAACATGGTTAACAATTCATGGCTAGGTCTCTCATTGACTGGAGATGTGTACACTATTGGAATTCTGGTTGGTAGTTCTCATCATTATGAAAACTAGGTATAGATGCTCTATTCATTATGAAAGTAGACATTTTATGTCATATACAATTGAAACATAGTTTTACTCCATGAAGCTGCTTTCATGTTGTGGTGTAGAGTTTCTAGTTAATCTGAGGCTGTATACATTACACTTCTGAGGTCTCTCTGTCTTTTGATGTGTACTGGGAGAATTGGAAGCTTGTTTTCGCTATGTGATAACTAATACAGTTGCTTTTTCATCATGGGATTTTTTTCTTCCCAGTTTGACATGTGATTTTCTTGCAGACTAACTCATGATGACATTTCTAAGCAACATAACAGTAGCTATTACTCCTTTTAGGTGTGATGATATTAAGCACTGTGAACAGAAGGCCTGAACACTTATACCCATCACATTTAGCAAGGGGGTCTGTACTGTAGGTGAAAATCAAAAGCAGAACTTATACCTGATGGCTGGAGTCCTAGCTTTCTTGCAACCGACTAAGAAGTATGCTTAAACACTTCATACAAATCAAATTTTGCTTTCTTTTTTAATCCATATTTGAACAAATCAAATTTGCAGTCCACCTTTCGGTTCCCCAATATGTACAAAAACAAAGAACTTTCCTGCAACAAGAAATGCTGAAAGTACAATTACTTAATGATAAAGACCAAATACCCAAATGCTGAAAGTACTAAAATTCAGATGAAATTCCCACAGTTCTTGAACCATCTTAAAGACCTTTGGTGGCACCATAAACAGCTCCCATTAATCCAGAATTTTCTTGTTTACAAGTTTCCCCTTTGTAATAATATTCTTAGGCTTCCAAAGACGGCAACGCTTATCCAACCAGCATATAGCTGCTTCATCAGTCTCGGAAAGACCAGACAGTGTTTCAAGCTTCATTTCCTCCCTTTCAGGAGTAAACTCGCCAAGCTTCACCAGAATCCTTACAGGTTTATTCATTAACTTCCTTGTGATTTCCAAGGCCTCAGGGGGCATTGTAGCTAAGAATACACCAACCTGAATCTTGGGTGCCAAAAGCTGGAAAATATCATAAATCTGAAACAAAGAAACTAATGCCATCAGACAAATATAAGACAACAGAAATGAAAGCTTTTCACAATAAAGCAGGACATTGGTCCTCAATTATTATGTACGCATAACTTTGGCACGGGGTAAAAAGTAAGTAAAAGAGGTAAATTTTCCAATATAGATACAAGATAATAAATGTTTCAAAAGGACAAGTATGAACACGTCAAGTTTGCAGCAAAAGCAAACAAACTGCACCACTTTAAAATGAGAGAACCTTATTCTTGAAACCTCTGGAAATCATTTCATCAGCTTGATTCAGCACAACCGTTTTGACATAATCAGGCCTGAGTGACTGTCTCCTCAATAAGTTAAATACGCAGTCAGGAGTGCCAACAATAACGAGAACCCCATGGGAAAAATTGCCTTGATCCTCAGGAACACCGGCACATCCCTCGCAAGCATGAACCTTCACGCCAAGATAGTTACCTAGAGAATGCATAACCTTCTCAGTTTTCCTGGCAAGCTCAGGGCTGGGGACAAGAACAAGTGCCTGACAGTCAACCGCATTGTAGTCTAGCTGCTGGAGGATTCCTAAGCATACAGTTGCTGTCTTTCCAGATCCAGATTGTGCCTGCTGAATGACATCTAGTCCCTTGCAGAAGGGAACAAGTCCCCTTTGTTGAACAGGAGATGGCTTTTCAACACCTTTGGATTAGAAATCCCGCATTTTCAGTCAACATTTTGAGGAAAACTTTCAAATTAGCCAAAATAAAGAGCTCACACCTTGTAGGCTAAATAAAAGACATATATGCACACGATACCAAAAGCTGTTCACCATATCTCACTTAAGGTCAGCTTAGAATGGACAAAGTTGGAATATACATCTTAGCGCCCTAAGACATATTTGAGCACTGGAAAGCAGTGTGTAAACTTGTTGTAATGAATAAAAGGAAACAAGCATTGGCTTCAAACAGAAAAGAAAACACAGAAAGCGACTTGAGCTATCACCTAGTGTTCTTTGGAAATCAAGTAAACCCGTAGAGTAAATCATTGCACTAAGGGAGTTATTTAGAAGCTAACAGGACCAACAGAAGAATACAACTTTGACCAGAACCACTATATCCAGATATTAATAGTATTAATCAGGTATGTGGCTGATTAAATTCTAAACTATATTTATATCGGTTTAAAACTTTCTAAAGAACCTTATTGCTTTGTCTAGAGATTTCCGAGTTAACTTACGATATATTTATCAAGGCAGAACAAGGTACAGATCCAACCAAACCGCTCTAGAACTGATTATCCAGGTCAAACATAGACATGATTGATAGGCCAAACAGCAGGTCAGAACAACTACTTACCATAAGCATAAATGCCCCTGAGAAGGTTCTCTTGCAAACCCATGGACTCAAAACTGTCATAGACCTCATCATTCGAAGTTAAAAAATCCTCTCCATCAGCATTAGGCCTGTGCAGATGGAACAAAAAATCAACCACCACCACTAGACATCATTATTATGACACAGTTATTGGATAACTGAGGCTCAAATACCAAAAATTTGGTGGGATGCAGGACTGGAAAGTTGTGTATCATCCTAGAACATCCAAAAATAAAAACTAGGCAGGAACTCAAAATTTTTTATTTTGTTCTTGTTTGTAAAAGAGGAGAGGAATGCAGGAAATAACTTACAACTCAGTCATTTTGGCATCACATTCACGTGCATCAAGTTGGGATCCCACTGGTGCAATGCCAGCCATGCCTGCATAATTAACAAGATAAATACCACCACTTTAGTATGCAGCAATGGCATGAACTTTCTAATACTGTGAGAAATGCAATTCAACAAACAGCAAACAACATATCTAGTCCTTCATAGAAGAGCATCTGGCAACAAAACCACAAAAGAAAATGTGCAGGAAAAAATTCATATCTGCATCTATAAACATAAATCTAAACCAATGATCAATAATCATAGAAGAGGTAAAAATGAGTAACAGGCAAGAAATGAGATAATGTAGTTACTGTCGAATTAAGCACAAGTCCAGAATCTAGAATGATGTACACAACTCTGTAGACCTAACCACTGTAACCTGAATTTTTCACTGATGAACTCTTTCGCTTCAAGGGCTCGGTTATTTTAGCATTCCAAAGATTTGAACTTGCACTCCAATCTAAATGTAATATGATCTTTGATACTTTCTGCCAATGCAAATAATCTTGCTGACCGCACTTTTTTCCAGTCGTATCATAGAAATGAATTTCTGTCTTCTTCAAATAATGTTGCCAAAAGCTTAAAGTATGAGTCCAATTGCTGAACACCCGATTTCTTTGGTCGGTTATGAACTTCTTATAAAAGAAAATTTTGACGGGAAGATAGGCCAAAGGAGTCAACCAATGCAGGACAAAATGCTTAGGATGACAAGCCCAAAACAAACCATCAAGAAAAGTTAAATAACGTGGTAAATCTGCTCGAGATTCTGTCAAGTCCAAATGTTCAATATCAACAGGGTGAGCATCAAAAGTTGGAATGCCCTCGAAGCTAGCATGTTCAGAAAGAGGACTTGCACAACAAATGCGAAGTGAAATCTTTGATGGGTTGAGGTTTGATAGCAACTCATTTAATTTCATAAACCATGAGACATCAATAGACGACCAATAGCATGGTATAATACACAAATCAGACACACATTGCCGTGGGGGAGCCCCTTTAAAAGACACCTTTTGCATGGTTTCTGCTGAAACACTAATTTTCATGTCAATGATATTTGGGGCATCTAATTCGACCAATGACTCTGCAGTGAACGAAAACCGTATGTGCTTTAGTGAGTGGCTTCTTAAATTGATATTCTGGAAGCCATGGCAGTGATTGAGTCCCAAAATCTCAAGCCTTGGAAATATGCTCGTCCAGTCATTGAAGAATGTATTTGTAATATATGTGTTGAAAAGCATCAGTTCTCTCAAATTTTGAGATGCAGGCAGTTGAAGAACACTCCCTGTTCGACCAAAATATGATATACGCAGACTTTCAAGGCTTGGTGCATCAACAGCAAAAATTAGGCTCTTCCTTATTTCATGACGCATATCTAGTTCCTTGAGCCTTGGAAGATTGACCACCTTGATTCTGGTGAAACCCTCACATAATTTAACATCCAGATTATGAATTAATGGGCAAGCAGAGAGGAATAATTGAAACTTCTCGTCTTCAATGTAGACACAAGCAAGACTCAAGGACTTGATATTATTAAACACGAGAAATTTGCCTCCATTAAACAACTGGTTACAAGCAGGAAACCGGCAGCGCTTAATCTCTAAATCTGTCAACGATTGAGCCCGAAGAATGCTTATGGGTAGGACGTAGTAATATTCAGCGGAATCTTTTATACAATGGTATCTATGGATGAGAAGTTTGAGTTGTTTCACACCTTTTTCCATGGCTATTTCGAGCAATTTGTCTAGGGTGGCAGCAGAATCTTCATCACCTATATGGTATATGTCGAGTGTAAGTTCCTGTATATGTTCTCCTTTGTAATTTAGCAAAGTTCTCTTTACATGATCCTGGAATTTTAATCTACCCTGTCTGCAGTATTTCTCGCACTCCTCATCGCCCCTTCCAAGTGCTTGTTGAAACAGACATCTTAATGGCTGATCGGAAAACGTCGGAGCAGGGTACGTCTGCCATGCGTGGAGCCAGTCTTTCGATAGAACACAAACTCGGGCTTGGTCGGTGGCACCGAGAAAACGTAATATACGATGGATGATGCCTTCAGGCAAGTATCTTGATTGTTCCATGGTGTCTTAGACAACGAATTGAACCCACACAAGAACAGAAAATTGAGAAAAGATGACAAATAGAAGATGAATGCCGCAACTTGTACATACGCCAAATTATTTAGAGGCAGAAGTACTTCCAAAGCCCAACTTGTACTAGGATTCTGAATAGACTATGATTCCATACACCCAACTACCGAAACTAAATATTCAATCTCAAAACAGTAACCAACAAAATAAAATGATGGCAGCATATCTAAATCAGAACTGGACCTAATCATGAACTTGGGGGAAGAAGAAGCCTTAAAATAAAAATGGAATAGGTTAGGGTTGAGATGTTGCACTATGTACTTAAATTTCTGAATTAAAATTGCGTAATCAAATTTTCAGCATTTTCTTTTTTGGGCTATCTTTATCCTTTATGGCACAATTGCATAA